ATTATTATATAGAAATTAAGTAATTTGGACTTTCAAAGTCTTTGCATTGACCACGCCCCCTCTGGTGCTGCCTTCAGGGACGGTTTGCAAAATTGTGAGACGCGAAGATGCTACATTTTATCATAGCAACTAAATGGGAAGATATCTCCAAACTTACACCGCATATAAGCCAAACAATAAAATACGACAGATTTGATTCTTCTCTAATTAAAATACAGCTGTAGGTGTAAGCATTCTTCTTCGTTTCATAATTTTTCAAGTCTTTTTTTAAAAAAAAATAGGTTGCTCACAGCTTTATACGCTGCACCTCGTGTCGTTTACTTGTAATCTAATCGGAGACATGCTAATTCCGATAGCACCTGAAGGCAGCGCAGGTCCTGTCTGCGCAGGAGCACAAACCGGCGGTCGAGCGGCAGAATACGGAACAGCCGCCGGTCAGCGAACCAGCAGACACACTCCGGTAGCTAGCAGCCAGCGATGTGACCCTGTTAGCCTCCTCGCTTTAACATTTCAGACATGACAGCGTTAGTTCCGACTGGCTGAGACTATCCCGACTGAGAGTGAACTAAACCGGAGACGACACCCCCCCTCCACCCCTTCCTCCCTCCGTACCCTCCGCCGTTCAGTCGCTCACCCCCCTCCGGTATCGGGTATCTTAATGGCGGACCCGTCGGAACCAGCGCCGGGGAGCGTGCAGGAGGAGGAGAAGAAGAAGACGGAGCGTATCAACGACGCAGAGCTGGCGCTGAAAGGAATCAATATGCTGCTCAACAATGGCTTCAGGGAGAGCGACGAGCTCTTCAGGACATACAGGTCGGTGTGCGGGGGGGCTGTTTCCAACATACTTGTGATGACAGGTGTAGCTAACGTCTCCAAACTTGTGATCCAACCAGTGGAGACACATTGTGCTTCACCCAGCATCCTTTATCACGCTGGTCTGCTGTGTGATCAGGCAGGATTAGTACAAGTTTAATTACCCAGAGCAAACATCCGCACCCTCAGCTTGTTATTGAACAATCTAGTGGTTCTGGTAATGTTGATGTGTATTCATGGTGACAAGCTTAAGCAGCGGTGTCACAAAGGACTGGCTCGTCTAACAGGTTGTCATTCCTGCCATGCCATGTCACTGACTTTTGAGTTACTTTGTGGAGGTTCAGTGTGAAATGTGTGATCACGTGTGTTTAGTGTCTAAATAGATGCTGAACTCATCCTCCACCATCCTGCAGGGATCCAGCCCCCCCACTCTCATGGTGGGAGATAATTAACAGAAGTTTTCCTGCAATGCAATGTGTGTGATGTTGCAGATGAACCACACACTCCAGTCCACTCTACTGGATTTTGTATACGTCCCTCAGTCCTGCTGCGCTGCCATTAGACGGGCTGATTAACTCCAGGAAGGGTTTGCTTTCGACTTAAATGTTGATGCCGCAGGAGGGCATCTCCATGTGTCCTCGCCCCCTGGTGAACAGCGTAAATGTCACTGTTTCCCACTAATTGCATCTAGCACTGGGTGTCATCCTCTTCTGACTGTATCAGCACAAAAAATCAAAGATGGAGGGAAGTGAAAGACACCAGCACAGCAACCAAGACGGAGCTTGTGACCGGGGGAATGAACCAGATTTCTGCAAAAGTTCCCCTGGTGGTTCTGTGAAGTTGACATAGTGAGTTGTGTCTGTGGAGGGAGCTTAGTGATGAATGAACCCTTACATATTGGTAGGATTTTATGCCTTCCTGTCAAGGATTCCCTCATAGTGTGTTACTACAGATCTATTTAGAATGAATAAATAGCTGATGTCACATTATATTAGACACATAAAACATGNCCCCCCCCCCCATAAAGTCAGGGTCCCCAAAGGAACCCTGGCACCTAAGCAACCTATAAATGCTTCCCTAAACAATGTCTTCTCCAGTATCACTCTTTATAGGCTCACTCTATCTCAAAAACAAAATAAATGTCAAAACCCAACAAGGAAGTTTCACTGTTGGTGTCTCAAACCACCCCTGTTCACCCTTATCAATCCTCAGCAACTGGATCCTTGAAGCTAAATTAAGAGGAAAGGTGAAGATCCAAAGAGGTGGAACACAGAGTACACACACAAAAAAAACATACAAACCCAACTAATAAGACCGAGACAATGCGTCCACCACAACATTGTCCCGCCCTTTGATGTGTCGGATGTCCAGGCAGTATGATTGAAGAAATAAAGCCCAACGAACCAGCCTCTGGTTTGGAGACTGCAAGGAACTAAGGAAGGTCAGTGGGTTATGATCTGTAAAGACCATCACAGGCCCAGTACTCACATAAATATCAAAGTGCTGTAAAGCCAAAATCAAAGCTAGAGTTTCCTTTTCAATGACTGAATAATTCAGCTGATGCCTATTAAATTTCATTGAAAAGAAACAAACTGGCTTATCCACTCCCAAGTCATCTGACTGTAACAGTACAGCTCCCGCTCCTACATGAATTGCGTCCACCTCCAGTTTAAAAGGCCTATCCCAGTGTGGAGCAGCCAAAACAGGGGCATTACAAATAAGAGCCTTTACAGCTTCAAAAGCATTTTGACACTCTGGTGACCAAACATACTTAACTTTGGCCTTCAGCAGGTTTGTGAGGGGTGCAACAACAGTAGAAAAATTCCTACAAAAACACCGGTAATATCCGACAAGTCCTAAGAAACGCATGAGTGCTTTTTTAGTTGAAGGTGGGACATAGTCCTCTATAGCCTGCACCTTTGCACTCACTGGACACACTCTGCCTTGACCCACCACACGACCCAAATAAGTCACTGTGGCCTTTGCGAACTCGCACTTGGCCAAATTAACAGTTAAATGTGCCTTAGCTAAGCGGTCAAACAACTGCTGGATACGGACAAGATGTCCCTCCCAGTCATCAGAATAGATGACTACATCATCCAAGTACACTGAACAACCCTCCAAATCTCCAACCACCATGTTCATCAGGCGTTGAAAGGTAGCTGGTGCATTCCGCAAACCAAAGGGCATCACAGTATACGAATACAAACCAGTGGGAGTAACAAATGCCGCTATCTCTCGGGCTCTTTTTGATAGTGGGACCTGCCAGTATCCCTTCAGCAGGTCAAACTTGCTCACAAACTTAGCTGACCCTACTTGGTCAATGCAGTCCTCCATTCGAGGAAGTGGAAAAGAGTCAGGCTTTGTCACACCGTTCACCTTACGAAAGTCTGAACAAAATCTGGGGGTGTTATCAGACTTTGGCACCAAGAGGCATGGCGATGCCCAACTGGAAGACGATGGTACAGCAATACCATTATCGAGCATATACTTAACCTCAGCATCAAGATATTTGCGCTTCTCTGGATGAACACGATAAAACCTCTGTTTGATAGGTTTACAATCCCCCACATCCACATCATGCTCCACCAAATGTGTGCGAGTAGGCACATTACCAAACAGACAAGGATACTGATTAATCAAGGCACTTAATTGATTTTGTTGAGACACCTCTAGGTGACCTAATAAGCCATCCATATTTAGTAGGCACTCTGAGTTCCTAAGACGACCAGAAAATAACGCTTCATCAGGGCCTGACAAGTCCTCCCCACCTTGCTGCGCCACAGCCTGAGGGGACACAGGTACTGATAAGCAAGCTGGATGTGCACCAGATAACTGTATCTTATGATCAACTGCCTGATCTGGACGAGAATAGTATGGCTTCAACAGATTAACATGGCAAAACTGGGTAGGTGACCTACGGTCAGGAGTAGCTATCACATAATTCTGGTCTGACACCTTCCTTACAACCGTATATGGACCAGCAAACACTGCCTGAAATGGCGAGGTAACAATAGGCAACAGTGCAAGCACCTGATCCCCTGGGAGAAACACACGATTCTCAACCTTTCGATCATAAAGCTTCTTCATCTTGCCCTGTGCAGCTGTCAACTTGTCCTTCGCAACCTCC